CTACATGTATGCTTTGCCATCACTTCTAGTTCACTACAGCCAAACTTTTCATTTGACATATATTTGACATACTCCCCTTACTAGTTGACAAACCTATCCACCTTGAACATGTACAGAGCCCTAGTTTCGTCTTCTCTCCTCTCTCCTTCAACTTACATATTCAGTCTGTTTACAAAAATGACACTTCCTTGTTTACATTACATAAAAATGATCCATCTCTCATGCTGACTACAACTTTCTCCACTTTGGCTTTCTCATGTTCCATTATGGTCCCTTTACATCTCTCCAGGACTCTACTACCAAACTCATTTACCTTTCATTGCTTTATGTCCTTCTTCAAATCTCCACACTGGTATCATCTCCACTCTTTGATCCTGTTTAAGTTTCTCAACATTTCTTTCAATGACCTCCATGTGGTTGCCCCTCTTTATGCCTTCATTTCTCTGTCCCAACACTTATTTGCCTATGACTTTCATGCATTTCACACCATCACCCTCAGCTTCAAAGGTCTCCTATCAGATGACTATGCTCTTTCTCCAGAGAACTAGCTGTCAGAATGACCACCAGTTTGCATGATACAGCAGTAACCCATGGGTTAACTAGGGGCATGATTTGCCCACAATTAACCCATAATTTGCTACAGGCATATAGTAGCACCATTTTGAATATTCAGGCCCTAATCAGACCAACTGGAATTTGCTTCATAATGTGCAAACTTGGACACTATGGATTAAACAACTCAAACTTAACCTACATTTTAGCTCTTATGTTAAGTCTATGTTGTTTAACCCATGATTAACCCATAGCTTCTGGATTTAACAGTCATGCAGCTCCTTTATTGGGCCAATCAGAAGTCATATATTGAACATGACACTGACACATGCCAGGTGTGCATAAGCAAGGCCATTGCCTCTATGCTACTTCCTTTAAACCCCTCTGCAAATATTTCTTCCATGAAGCATTTCACAATAACCCCCTGTCCCTGCATCCCACTGAAACTAAGCCTAAGTAAATGCAACTGGGGTAGTCATGCATTCTTCCCTCCCTCTTGCCTTCCTTGTGTTCAATTCTAGAGTGCAGGTCCTTAGGGCAGGGACCTGCTATTTCATTCTTTGCAAGATATATTAAGTATAATATAGTACCAGCCAAGTACAAGGCACTATACAAATTAAGATAATGATGATAGTAATGAGCAAACTCCTCCACATTTCCCATGAGGTATGCTGGTTATCTTTATTCACCCCCAACATGTCATTATTTAGAATGTGTAGCACACATTTTTACATACATTATGATTTGAAACAGAACATTCTCGGTCATTTTGAACCAACTGTAAAGAACAAGTCACTAATATTTCAATTTACAGGTGAAGAACTGAATCTTAAAGGTTGGAAATTGCTGAAGGCCTTAGAGTGAAGCCAAGGGATGAGCAGATGTTTTGATCTAGGTCCTAAATTTCTGCTAATTTCCATAACTGCAACCTACATCAACTACAAATGCTTACTAAATTTCTGAAAATTTGAAATTTTATTCTTAGAAATAACAATGTTACTTTTACAAAAGTAATCTGGACTTTACTTTTACAAAAGTAAAAATGAAATTGACATTAGGTTGAGGAACTCTGATCTCTATACATAGCATGATCCAAGAAAATAGGAGGCTAGAAGCAGTTTCAGTATGTAAGAGAAAGCTGTTGGGAAGAGAAAAAATAATTCCTGGTTGCCAAGAACTAGCAAAAAAAGCCACTACTTGTCACTCCTGACCAGATTTTTTCTGAATACAAGGTACCACAAAAACCAACAGTTTGAATTTAGGAAAAAGTATTTCCAGTTTTAAAAGGCATCAACCAACTTAATCTTTTATCTGAAAAAGGAAATCTGCTGATATGAAAACTAAAGCACATCCCTCTACTTCATAAGGCACTACCAAGTACGCTGCCCATTCCTACGCTCAATTTCAGTATATAATAGCAATGTTTGAAGTCCATGTATTCTAATTAATGCTTTAATCTAGTCCAATTAATAAGTGTGTTATTTTCAACTCCCTGGCTCCATTTTTGAGACAATGCATGAACTAGGAAAGTGTGCATATCTATATTTGACAGACTATAAGTTAAAGGCTTGATAGGAAGTACTGACATTAAGATCCATCATTTCATGCCTCAAACCCGAGAAACAGCTTCTGAAGGCAGGTAATGACATTACATTGTAAAACCTGGGTAGGTCTTGACCTGGACAGTGCCTAGCTATGTAACTGCTTGGGAAACTCCATTTTTTTTCAGGAAAAAAGCAAGGTATGTGCAATATGCATGCACAAAGATCCACCTATGAGATCAAGCATGATGTTGGACATACAGGAAGACTTCACTGTAAAATTTCAATTTACTCCTAAACACCCTAAGGTCTACTAAAACCTGTTATATATTGAGTTTAAAGATCAGGGTACACATTTTGCAGTGTCATTAATTGCTGTGAATTACTAGAAGCATTCACATTCACTACCTATTTGCATAGCCAAGAACAAACAAATATAGGAAAAACAGGATTTTTGCGTAGCACTTTAGTTTTGTTCAGAATTATTTCCCTTCTAACTGTATTCAGAGATATTCTGATAAAACATATATTCAGATATTAGACTCAGCATATCTGCTCAATTTAGGAGCCAGCTTCTATTACTACAGAATTTTACTGCAAATTAATTCCTAGATATTGTGAATGTCAGAATAGCTCTGCAGGGTAACACAAAAAGCATCTTTGCAGGATATAAATCTAGACTAAAAGCTTAGGTAGTGATTAGTTTGTTCAGCACAGTTCTTGAACTGTGCAAGTTTTTACAGAGAGATAGATATGTAGATGTCAAGAATTCTTCCAGTGCAGGAGGAAGACTAGATTGCCTTTGGGTAGTTTCCATATCTATAATTAATGGTAGGTGCACTGGCAAATAAAGATTTCAGTTAACTGTCTACTGCCATCCAGCAGACAATGAACAGAATTGGACAACATGCCACAGGCACCATACTGCATATGGAACCCCTGCCCAAGAGTTATATTGTGCAAACCCATCAAGCATGGATTATGCAAGGGTTGAATAAGTGTTGAATAACACTTGCATACCCTAAAATAGATCATACAGAGCATGATGCTAATGGTCAGTTTCTAAATACATCTAATAAATAAACAAATAATTATTAAATATCATGGGTTCTGTGAGGTTTGCTTAGTTCTCATATAACTCACACTTCAGGGGTTCATACAGCACAGCAATCCCCAAATGAGGACTGAACGTTCAAAATGGTGGCTTCACACACCCTGCACATACCACAGCCTCATTGTGGGCTTTGGTATCATGAGAACAACCCTTTAGTTTACTCATCCCTACCAGGCACAGACCAAGACAATTATCATTTTCTTTTATGCATGTTAAAAGGAATGAATTGCATACATTTTGCAAGTAACTAAACCACAGAAAAGCCATGTAGTAGAATATTCTATTATACTTCTCAATTTTGAATGTAGGTATCTGAGTTTCAAACGTTTATTCTTCAAAGGAAATGACTTACAGAACTACAAGAGACAAACAGGGTGGGTATCACTCTCAAGTACCAGTAACATAGCCAAAGGTCAGTCTACCACAAGCAAATGCTCCATATCTGTAATTGAAGTTCAATATTTTTCAATGATCTTTTAAAATCTAGAACAAATAAATAGCTACCATGTCCAGCATGTTTAAGAAATAAATGTGCAGCACAAGCATAGATCTTGCTGAGGAGCATGATTCACATTCACAGAGAACCACTTTAATTTCATGGACTAAAAAGGATTAAAAGAGAATACATGATTTTCTTTTTTTTAAAAAAACAAGGATTCTATAATCTTTGCTTGCAGGTATTTCCTCATGTATATAAGTAATTCTAAACTCTTTGTTAAATGCACTAAATTATTAGGCCTGTCCTTTCAATATAACCCTGTTGAAATTTTTCTAAAGCATCTGCTCCTCTAAAAATGAATTGCCAATTAGAGAAATTGAGGTAAGTGCAAGTAACTTGCTAACTCAAGGTCTCAGAAACAGACACACTTTTTGGTTTCTGACAGTGCAAGCCTATGCATACCTACTCAGAAATAAGTCTTACTGAGGACAATGGGATTTTTTACCAAATAAATGTGCACAGGAAGCAATCTAAACATTGAGATGAAAACCAGTATTAAGAAAAACAACAAACAAAGTATAAGAAAGTCCTAGCACTTCAGAATGCTTGTGCATACAAATCATGTATGAAGCAGAATTCCCATCCCTTCTTAAGATATCCAGTATATATGATTAATAGTGAACAAAGCTCTCAATAAAACTGCTCAAGGTGCAGACAGTTTACACAAGATGCATATAATTGTATGCAACATGCTAAACAGAATTCAGTATCAATATTCCTACTTAAATTGAGTTAGCTATTAAATTACAGATATTGGCAAATTATTTAATACCCTCAAAGCATATACACCTTTGCATGTATCTAGAACATATTACATACTAGCATAATGAAGTGCCACTGATCATATTGACGCTTGTAAATAAAAACTACACGTTTACGTATGTATGCGTATATGTACGATTTTAAAGCCTATATTAAAAATGTATGTAAAATGTACATTATATATTCCAATTCTGTTATTAGAGTGGTCTTTTTAAAATGCAAATGGTGACAATTATTAGATTTAAAATATTCAACTTATCTAGAGCTTGTGCAAGATGAAATCCACATTTGAGAATTAAAACCGTTTCTAAGACAATGCAGGCATTTTAAAAACAAACCCGAATATTGGCCAGCCGCACCCCCTTTCGTACACCACGCAACGTGGATGTGAGCAGAAAAACTGGTTAAGTGAAATTATTTAAATATACAGTTTTATGTAGCCTTCATTGGAACTGAAATGGTTTAAATCCAGGTAATCCGGCTTAATTTGTTTGCAGATCATGCTGTTATGTTACACCCACTGGCTACTTACCAGCCGCAGTGCTGAGCAGTAAGGTGGCACTGGAGAAGAGGAGCACCAGCAAAAGGTGCTGCAGCAAGGCAGTCATATTTTGAGAAACCCAGAAGGGTGAGTGATGTGTATAATTAAACAAAATGCCGACAGGAGGAAATCTCCTGTCTCCGAAGAGTCTTAACCTCTTAGTTTACAATCCAATCTGAAAGGGCAAATGGCAGATGAGAGGAGCTGCCTGAGCATTTACTCCATTACACGAATCTGTCTTCATGTTTCAGGGCTTGGCTCCCTCTTGTTCGCTTCAATCTGGAGACGGGAGTTTTGGTTCTCAAACCAATATGCATATTCCTTTTCCCAAGCAGATGTTCATGGTTATAATACTGAAAACCCTATTATTTCCCACGCGTCTTCACAATATCAAAAGACCACTCAGGTTTCAAATAAGTCATATCCAGAGGCGGTGAGGACAAAAAAATCGATTGTCATGTGTAAGCTGCGTCTTCAATGCCCCCACAAGGCAGACAGGGGCAGGAGGTTTAAAGGCTGAGGTTTAAGAAAACCAAAACAAAAATCCAAATGTCTCAGCTGTATCTTTTTTAAGGGAGTTATTTTCAGTTACTTAACGTTTAAAAATAACAAGGCGTCGTCTTCACAAGGATTTTTAACGGCGTTTTGCTCCATTACGTGTTTTCAGTCTCAAATTATAATCTGAAATGTTAAGAATCTATTCCCTTGCCTCACACACACATTCTCTCTCTCTCTCTCACACACACACACACCCAACAGACACACCGAGAAGAAAACAACTCCCAACTAAACGGCGAAGCAGAAAGAACTGCTTCTTGGCGTTTCTGAGGCGGCGGCGACAGCAGCAAATCAGGGCTCCGCCGTTCCTGGCTCGATCAGAAGAGAGGCCTTTCCCCCTCCCCAGTCCTGGAGGATATGGCTTGCCCTCTGCTCGCCACTCTCACTCCCTGCTTGACCGCAGGGAAAGGAGGGCACCGATCCCGCCCGCTCCCCTCACTTTACAATACCGGCCCCCCACCACCACCACCGCCCGCCCCCCTCAGCCGCAAGAGGCTGCCCCTTTCCCATAAAAGAGATCTCGGCGCCGGCCAAGTCCGTCCTCCCTGGCTCGCTTCCTTCCCCACACGCCGATGGCCCGGTCTCCCCCGCCCCGCTTTTCCGCCCTTCGCCACCGCTCGCCGCCCTTCGCCCGCTGTGCAAGGCGGGCGCGCGGACGAAGGGAGCGCGCGGGGGAAGTGCTCAGAGCTCCGCGCGCCGCCTCCCAGTCTCCGGTGGCCGCTGGGCTCGCGCGTCGCCTCCCAGTCCCCGGTGGCTGCTGGGCTCGCGCGGCTAGAAGCGGCTCCCCTTCCCTCAGACCAGACACAAAGGGGAGTCGCCGCTAAACTGCCAGTCTGAGCGGCCGGCCCGTGGGCGCCACGAAGCCCCGCCCCGCCCTCCTTCCCTCCCTCCCTGCCTCTCCCCCGCCCATCGGCTCCTTCGGGCTCGAGCTCGACCCCGCACCCCGCGAAGGCCTCCCCAGCCCGTGCGCGCCTGCCACTGAGCCAGCCAGGCGCGGCCCGCTTCCTGGGTGGAAGCCTGGCATCATAGAGACCACGCTGGAGCTCTAGCTAGAGAGGTTCCCTGAGCCGGCCCGTCCTCGCGGCGCCTGCTCCGTGTCTCGCGTGTGGGGGTTCAGAAGAGAAGGTGTTGACAGAGTTTTCTGCGCCCCTCCCGCACCGCCATGTTGTGAAGAATTGTGCGTTTGCCAGATCGGTGGTGTGGTGAAAAACTGCGTGGGAAGGACAGGAGGAGCGGCTCGTTCTGTGCTTATGGCTTTTTCTTCCTTTCTTTCCTCTCCCTTCTCCCATTGGGAGCAAAGCGCCGTCTGCAGCCCCGGTGTATGAGTAGCTCGCTTTGAGCAGGTAACTGCCTTTCCTTCAAGACAACTGCCGATCTTTCACGCACTTTTACTCAGAAGTCTCAACTTCTTCGTTGAAACTTCGTTGAGACTTACTTTTGGAGTCACTTGAGCCTAACATGTTTAGCGATTAGAAGTGAGTTACACGCAGAGGTGCATTGTTCATCCCATCCCATTCATGCATCCGCCTTTGCATCTGTTCGCACAAACAATAAGGTTGATGGTCGCCCGAGTAAAAGAGAAAAAGCACTCACGAGAAATAATCAGAAATGCGAACAACGACAAGCAAATAGAACACCCCCACTTTGCTTTAGTGAGTTTGAGGTAGGGGACACAATAACTACAGATTAAGGGGAGTAAAACCTGAGAAAAGCAAGCAAATAATCGAAAGTGTGTGTTCCTTTTAGGAAGTTTAAAAGATTCAAAGATGTTTTCCCATGCAGGAAGTGCAAATTCAGGTTTGATTCAGGTTTTCAAAGCAAAATTATGCCCTCGATCAATGCCTACCCATTAGGGCATTTGGGGGACACGGGACAGGGGAGGGACACCTAGTAAGCCTAGTCGGGCAAATTTCTCAGGGTCAGGTTGTATGTCTCCAACTGTGAGTTGTGTACCAGACAAAAAATGAGCATGGCTGGAAAGCATTACAGCAGCAAAGAGCCGTGGATGTTTTCTAACATCTCCCTTGGGGCCTATTCTAAGAATATGTCCATATTAGCACATGATTGCTGGGAAAAGTTTCAGGCTCCAGTCCATGGCGAAGTAGTTGCGAGACCAAGGTGCCTTCCGGTTGGCTGTAAGTGCAAAAGCTTAAAACCAGAGCAGTTACAGCCACAAGGTACTTCGGAATTAATTTCAGCAAGTGCCAGGGATGCAGACGTGACAACAGCTAAGGCCGAGAGACAGTGGCTTGCCCAAATGAAGTCAGATTTGAACTGGAATTTCTGACTGAAACTCTCAGCCGTTATTAGTCTACAGCAGCTTGCTATGTGTAAACTTCCTGACATGAGGGGAAGAAACATGAAGAGCAAATGCTTTTCTTAGTGGGAAAGGGAGAGGTCCCCTCTAAAATTAAGCATTGTTGAACCAACCTTAATATTCTTATTCTCGTCATCATAAAGCAGGTTAAGGGTTTCCAGACCACTCAAACAAATTACCTATTCTCAGAATGCCTTTCATGTATCTTACCACATCAGCTAACTAATATCACTTTTCTGCATTATTTACTCTTACCTAGATGTAGTGGCAACATTTCCAAAAATTTTAGGAAGACAAATTTTCATACCTATTTGCAATTTTCCTTTGCAAGCACTTTCTTAAACAAGAGATGCACAGTACTGAGAGTCCCTTTGAAACTGTTGGCTCACAGTTCTAAAGTTTTGAAACAAAGCACAGTCCTGATTATGGTTATCAGCAGCAACTTAGAACTTATCTATTCTGCAGATAATAAAACCTTCTCTGTGTACTGCAGCCTCCAACATTGATAAAACAATGGGCTTTGATTAAACAATAGGGAAAATTCTGTCAGGCTTTTCAACCAGCAGAAACCAGATACTTGTAGCTTAAGAAAGTAAGGTCACACAGGCAGGGAGGGTGTAAGGATATTATAGCAATATAATTCAGTGTGGTACTGCTATATTTTCTGTTTTGTTCTGCTGCTAAGCCAACAAAGATCAAATAGGAAGACACAGGTTAATAGGCATTTCCTAAAATGCTTATCTAAGTATGTATACTGGAGTGTTCATACCTGGGGTCACAATACATGCGATTAATTACAGTGAGGAGTTGCACAGTTTGATGGAACCACAATTTCCCCTTTCATTGTTTACCAGGGTCAGCAGATACGGTCTTTGACTAGCCATATTTCAGGGACAATGTTCACTATGAACAGTACCGTTAGATTTCAGGTCAAGATCAAACCTGGGGGTGCGGGGAGGGGAAAGCCAGGCTCTAGGGCTAAATCTACCCCTCACCCCCATCCCCCTACTCACAGCTTCTCAAGTGCCTACATTCCCTTCTTTCAACCATCATTTAGTGGTTCCGAGTGTTTGTGCAGGCTTTCCTAAGGCTACCGTGGTCTGGTATTTTGGGCTTCACCTGTGTGCGCCTGATCCTACCCACCACTGGAACATGGTCTCCTAAGAGTTTCCCTGAAACTGAACTCAGTCCTCAGCCTGAAAGAGGTTCCCCATCTCTGCCTAACAGGCCCCATATGATTGCTTGGGCTGCCTGTTTATTGCCTCAGCTGGCATTTTCCATTCCCACTTCCCTGCCCTCCCAATGGACTGCCTCATTTTTCATGGTAGCACTGAGCTACAAAGGACCTCCTCTCCACCTGAGTGAGGTGGCTGATTTGGGGTTTCACAAAATGACAGCTCATTGTTAGTCATTATTGTATTTTTATTGCAAACGAATGGCAGACTTGCTAGTGGGAATCTCTGCCTCCATTGCCAAAATAACTTGGCCAGCATGGGTATTATGCTTAATTGTGGGGAGGGGGCCCCATTTGCTGCTCTGCTTAAAGCAGACAAATGCCTTTGCCTGGTCCTAGTAGCACAGATCCTTGGCCAGTGGGGAGAAGGATGCTGTGAGGTTTTTGTTGTTGTTGTGGGGGTGGTTTCCAATCAAAACATGCCTAAAATAACGTAGAATACAATTGGTACCTAAGAAGCTGCCATATATGGAGTCACTCCATTGATCTTTCTACACTCCACATTGTAGACACACCCTGGTAGGGCCTCTCTGAGGTTTCTGTTGGGGTTCTTTCTAGCCCTACCTGGAGAGTGATTGCCAGGGATTGCAAAGCATGCATGGTACCATTGAGCTACAGTGGTTTGCACCAGATGGTCTTCACAGGATTTATAATATGACGCTGACTGCAATCCAAAACACATTTGCTGAAGAACAACTATAAATGAATTTGGAAGGATGCACTTTTGAGTAAACATGGATTGCTCTGTCAGTGCACCTGCTGGAAAGTGCCAGATAAGTAATATGAACTGCATGTAGGTGTGATTGTAATGTGCTTTTGTTAAAGAATTTTTTAAAAATAGTAAGCACTGATTTTGTAAGGGGTTTAAAATTTCAAAAGTGTGTTTTAAGTGACTAATCATAATATTCTTATATAAAAATGTGTTGGTACAGGACAGAATGTTACTGGGGGAAAAAGCTGACAGGTCTTTGAGTATGATGGAATAACTCAGGGAATATTTTAGAATATTGCTGAACATGGACATTAATAAGACTTTTTTACATTTAGAAGAAACATATCAGTTTGTGATTTAATTAAGGGTTTTATTTTTATTTTAGGGCAGACATATATTTATCTGACGTCCAAAAATATTCATTCAAGGAAAAGCAGATTTATTTCACCATAACATCTAAATAGCCACAATTATCTCAGTTCAGTGTATAGTTTAATGATCTGCTGTGCTTCTACCTGATAGTTCTAAAGAGAAATATGTTGTGTAGTGCTGTACCCTGTAGGGAAATAACAGCCTAATGCTTGCCTGAATCTCTTGGCTGGTTCACTATAATGTGGGAAGTAATCCTTCTTCATATGATAACTGTCAGTGAAAACATCATTTGGTAATTCATTAAGTCCAAATGACCTTATCAAAAAGAAAGATGTCATAGGACCCATTTAAGTTTGCCTCTCAGGAAAATTTTGTTTTGTCCATCAGTATATCAATTACTCATCCACATTTTAAGTTTGATCAGCAATTAGTACCAATCATGAGATGAGAGGGAACCAAGAGCAATAACTGGGCGTATATTAGGGTGTTGTTATTAGCTGTTGTTATTTTCATTTCTATAGTACCTCATAGTCAAAGCTCTCTGGGCAGCTTCCACAATGTATAAAACAAAACAATAAAATACAAATAACATAAAACAATGATAACATAACTTTAAATTATTTTAAAATATGTTTAAAATAAGGCTATATGTTATTCTAACTGGACTTTATAATAAGTTAGGCTAAAGCTAGGGATTATTTTGATCAGCAAGTGGTACCATTCATGGGGATAGAGGACCTATTTTCAAAAGCATTTCTAAAGCTTAAATAATTGAAACAACAACTCTCCTCTTT